CACACACACACACACACACACACACACACACACACACACACACACACAATCTTGAAGAAGGGGACGGGGGCGGGGAGACTGCAGGTTGGAGCTCAGTGATCGAGGCTTGCCCAGTGGGTCAGTTTTGCTGGCCTCTTCACATCTTGACCTTGGACTCTCAAGTTTTGAGACCTGTGAGCAAACCAGTAACTGATTACATCTCTGTGGCCCCTGGTGTGATGCTATGGCAACCCGAGGAGCTGCAGGCAGTGAGCGTCCGAGTGAGGAGCAGAGCCTGTCACAAAGCATGCTGCACAGTCTGCAGCTTATTTCCAGAGAGCCCCCTGGAGCATCCCCCTGTCCTTTTCTGCAGAAAGGCTGCCGATGACACCTGTCCCCTGCCCTGGGCAGCTCTGCACACGTTCGGGGCACTGGGTGGTATATCCCTGTCGAGAAACAGACTCTCTGTTCTTTGAGGCAGGCTGAGTAGGAACAGGAGTCGGAAGGGCAAGTTCAGATCTGAGATCTGGTCCAGCCGTGCCTCCGAGTGCCTTCATCTTCCTGAGCATCAGCTTCCTCATCTACAACTGGGGCTAAGAAGGCCCAGTTCTCAGGGATGCCAGGCCCACTACGCCCTTTAGCTCAAAGTAGCATAGACTTAAATGTTAAATAGATTTTTAAAATTTTTTAAAAGATTTATTTATTTATTTTATGCATGTACATGAGTGCTCTATCTGCATCTGTACCTTTATGCCAGAAGAGAGCATCAGACCCCACTAGATATGGTTGTGAGCCACCATGTGATTGCTGGGAATTGAACTCAGGACCTCTGGAAGAGCAGGCAGTGAACAGACTATTCCTTTAAACCAGTGGTTCTCAACCTTCCTAATGCTGCGACCCTTTAATACAGTTCCTCATGTGTGTGACCCCAACCATAAAATTGTTCTGTAGATGTAGTTTTCCTGCCTTGTCCACAGTCAGGACAAATCTTTGTCACCAGCCAGTCCCACAGCCGCTCAGACCCAACCAAGTAAACAC